AAGGTCACCAAAGGTCACCAAAGGTCACCAAAGGTCACCAAAGGTCACCAAAGGTCACCAAAGGTCACCAAAGGTCACCAAAGGTCACCAAAGGTCACCAAAGGTCACCAAAGGTCACCAAAGGTCACCAAAGGTCACCAAAGGTCACCAAAGGTCACCAAAGGTCACCAAAGGTCACCAAAGGTCACCAAAGGTCACCAAAGGTCACCCTTTGGGGATGACGGATGACAAGGGGAGCCGAAGGGGACAACCAAGCCTAGACCGTACTTTTGGCTTTGTTGTGAAAAATGCGCTCGGTTAAGCCTTGTTTAGGTATGTAATTAGCCGTAAGGCGCTCATCCCCTTCGTGGATGCCAAGGAAAGGGCTTAGCCCTTACGTAGAAATCATTCGGCCGAAGGCCGGATCGTGCTATGGGCTTTAACTACGAAATTAAACTTAAGTGACTAGTTTAATTTTGTTAAACTAAATAAAACTACACGGAGGCCGTTGGCCGCGAGGTGTGACGGTGTGTCCCCCTTCTTCCCCTTTAGTTCCCCTTTAGGGGAAGACGTACATCCCCTAAAGGGGAACTAAAGGGGAACTAAAGGGGAACTAAAGGGGAAGAATAGCTACATTGTAGGCCTAGGCCGTTAGCTGTCGTCCGCAGGAATACTATTAGCCGTAAGGCGAATGTAATTATATTACATTAAATTACACGGAGACGCTTGGTCTTCTTTCCCCTTCCCCTTTGGTTCCCCTTTAGTTCCCCTTTAGGGGATGACTGATGACAAGGGGAGCATCCCCCCCCTCTGGGGTTGTCCCCTTTAGTTCCCCTTTAGGGGATGAACCAAAGGGGAAGACAAGGGGACGAAGGGGACAACTACGTTTAATTCTAAATATAATTATAAAACTTCAGGTGCTAGAGACACTATTTTTGTAAAATTCTTATCACGTAGTTCGCGTGCAATAGGACCAAAAACACGTGTACCACGTGGATTTCCTTCTTTATTAATAATAACGGCAGCATTATCATCAAAACGTATGCTCATTCCATTTTCACGACGAATCCCTTTACGTGTACGAACAATAACAGCTCGTACAATATCAGAGCGTTTAACAGGCATATTAGGTAAAGCATCTTTAACAACTGCAATAATTACATCT